TTTATTTTATACATAGGCTAAGTTAGCACTTGGCATTGAATAGCTGTAGTATTGTTATAATATATAAAAAAATTATTATGTAGTTAAGATTGAAATGAAGGGCGGCGCCTTATTATTGAGATTTTTTTTCTTTGATATTTTTGTTTTATTTTGCTTTATATTATGAAAAATCTGTTATATAGTCTGTTTTATAAAATTATTAAAAAGTTTTAATTTAATTTTTATATTATTTTATTAGAAACATTTAAATAATTTTATGAAGTAAATTGTATATAATTTATCATATAAAACAATTTTTATTATACTATATTGTAATTCCAACGTTTTTATTTTAGGTATACCTACTGAGAAGTTGTATTATAAAAATAGTAACTTCTTGATTAGTTAAATGTGTCGTGGAGTTCTATTTGCCAAATAAGATTTTTGTGTAAAAGTCTATTAGTATTAAATTTGTATGCTTATATATTTTTGAGTTGAGAAAAATGAAGAATAGAAAAAAGTTTTTAATTAATTATATTATAATATTAAAAAAATATTAACCCAAACCATTAATGTATTTCTCTTTGTGCCCATGTTTTGGAATAGAATTAACAGAAAAAAAAAAAAAAAACCCAAAATGGAAAACAAACAAAACAAAAACGAAAACATGGCTGAAGTTTTGCGTCGTCACTTACCTGACTTCTGCCGCCCCTCATTAACAAGAATCCGTCTTTGACTGCCCCAACTCCCATTCCCGTAACCCTCTTTCCTTCCTTGGATTTCCCTGCCGCCAGACTTTCTCTTACCCTTGTCCTCCGTCGGTCGACCATAGGTAGAGAGTACTGGAAACAGTTTCAGAAGATGATGTTTTCTCGGGGATTTTCTCGGATTTCTCGGATTCCAAGGAAGACCCTCTTCGGTTCCGTTCTGTCTCGACGCTCTGACCCTATTCAGTCCCTTCTCCATGCTACACCCTCAGAATCTGCTATAAAGGTAATATAATTCGGTTATGCTTTTGATTTCATTGTCTCATATATTTTTGTTATTTTCCCCCTTTCTTACGTTTTTGGTTGCTGGATGTTAATTTGATTTTATATAGAGCGAGAAAGTATAGTGAATGATTGATGAAGTAGGAAAGCATTTCCCTTTTCTAGTTGTGAAACGTAAAATGTGTATGCCAAATTCTAGTTTTAGATTGCTATGAAATCTATTTTTTTAATTTGTCCACGAAGTGGGTTAGATGCATACCAAATAAATCTTTTCAAGAGTTCAAAAGTTGTCATTTGTTGTTTTTTAAGAGTTCAAGGATTTTTTGTTTGCATCTGTTGCGTGGAGATTATTGGAATTCGTGGTAAAGGGTCTTAAATCCTAATGTACCGAGAAAAAATATTTAGTTCTTCGATGTCTTGGAAAAGAGTGTTTGAAGATAGGTGAGCCAAATGATTACTCCTGTGGTGTTCATGTTTATGTATATTTTGAATCCCTTAAGTCTCTTTAAATTATGCTATGCTTCCTCCATCTTATGTGTTAGTTTCCAACATTACCTGTTTAGATTGGAATGGTGAAGGGAATGTACTTTGTAATTGTGTGTCTGATCTTGACATTGAATATTCGGAGTGCTGAAATTCAATAATTTTTTTTAATGGAGAAATTGAATAGTTTGGAAGTAGCAGTGGCCAGTGGGATTATTAATAATGGGGTTGCTAGTAGCCATCCATGCTGACTTAGAAACTTTGCTGTTGAGTGTCAACATGTTGGTAAAGAAGAGTTTAAACCAGTAGAAAGGTGTACAAATTGATGGCATGCTCCTTTGAGAGCTGGTTGCACTCCCAATTTTTTTCAATGGAGTTTTACCTGTTTATTTTTTTATTTTTTAATTACAAGTTATTAGTTGCCAGACTACACTTTCCTAATGGCTTTTCAACCATTGTGTTTCACTGTAGCAATTTCCTATCTTTTTTAGATAATGAAATATTTCTCATACTGATGACTAATATGGTCTTTGATCCATTTATAGTGACAATTTATTTTTTTGGCTGTTACTGTTTTTGGTGATTAGTAGGTTTTGGGTTGCAGAGAAACTTATTCCTCGGGTTTTCCGTCTTGGCACGGGGTTGGACATCAAATCCATCATAGCAGTTCTGTTATTGAGGTTAGTAAGTGTTTTCATTTTTTGCGTTTGTTTCTTTAAATTTGCCTGTAGTTTCCTCCTAAAGAGTATTTACCCAAGACCCTTGGTGCCTGAGAGGCTAGGTTTCTCATTTCTTTCTTTTTTTTTTTTAAAGAAAAAATCCTTTTTTTTTAAAATTAATATCTTCTATTCGTTTGTATGAGTTAACTAAGTCTAGTTAAAAATTTTTGTTGAAAATGACTTCTGAATTTTGACTGTGTTTTGACAAGCGATGCATGTGTTGTCTTGGTGCACTTAATAATTAATTTTATATTTATTTTCTTATCTTTTAGAAGAGACACTTCATGTTTCTTCTCCTCTCATGTCCTTCAATCTTGTCTTTGTTTGCCACTCTATTATGATTGGGCTGTTCTCTCCAGGAACAACTAGACCCATTTTCCCTTGTTGCAGATGAACTTTCACTTCTTGCTAATAGGTTGCGGGCAATGGTAGTGGCTGAGGTATGTAACTTTAATTTTTCTTCTGTCTTTTAGCTGAGATTTATTTTACTTTCAATGCGATGAAGAGCAAGAGGTTGCTATCAGGTGATGAAAATTGGATATCTATCTCATACAGGTTCCTAAGCTGGCTTCTGCTGCTGAGTATTTCTTCAAAGTGGGGGTGGAAGGAAAGAGGTTTCGTCCAACGGTAATGACAATTTAAGCTAAAATTGATGGTTGCTTTCCTTTCTTTGAATGCAGCTTCTAATCACTTTAAATTAGTAATCTTTATATAAGCCTAAAATTGGGGAAACCATCCAAAGGTTTCCACTGTTGCATCCCTTTTCCTCTTTAAAACCTTTTAAGGTGTTGCCTAAATGGGAGGCTCAACGAAAATGACTCTGGCTTAGTTTGGTGGCGAAAGTGGCCTAAACTTAAAACATCTGGGTCCAAGTCTCAAAAGTTCTGCACCAGTATGCCTTAGTCGTTAACATGCCTTGTTTTAAAACTGTATAACTTTACCTTCTTGGTCACCTTTTTTTTTTTTTTGGTTATAATTTCTTTATCCCTTTTATTTTTAATATATTTGACAAATTTTTGTTTCTTTCGCCATTCCATGGAAGTTAAGTCATTTTCATTGATCTGTTACTGAAGCATGATTACTTGCCAAAATGGATATTGGTGCTTGCACCATGCAGGTTTTACTGTTGATGGCAACAGCTTTGAATGTGCGTATACCTGAACAGGCTGTTAGTAGGGTAGGAGATACTGTGGCAACTGATTTACGTACAAGACAGCAGTGCATAGCCGAGATTACAGAGATGATTCATGTCAGTTTGTCATATTTTTGTTTCCTTTATTTATCAAATGCATCTGCATGTTGTCTGCAATGATTTATGGTGCTGTAGCTGCTTTTATGTCAAAAACTTATTATAGAGCTGCTTTAGGACTAATCACTAATTTGATTATCTCCCTGTCTTAGGTCGCAAGTCTTCTTCACGATGATGTCTTGGATGATGCAGATAAAAGGCGCGGCATTGGTTCTTTAAATGCTGTAATGGGCAATAAGGTACTGCTCTTGATTCAGTTAGTGTACATCACATTGCTTATGTATCTTCCATTTGATTTTTATTATCTTTTGAAGTCATTAAGGATTTTGTACTTTGGCCTCCCTTTATTCTTTCTTTTTTTTTTCTTTTTCTAAATTCTTTAGTTTGTTTACCATGCAGTTAGCCGTATTAGCTGGAGATTTTCTGCTTTCTCGAGCTTGTGTGGCCCTAGCTTCTTTGAAAAACACAGAAGTATGTTCCTTTTTCAAAACTCTGTATATTCATGTGGGTTAGTGGCTGGGTGGCTACTTGGCTGGATGAATTTAGATCATATATCAGATTGATAAAATAAATGACAGTATTGTTGGCCTGTACATGATACTTGTTGGTAGCAACTCTTCTTAGCACTGTGTCTCAATTCCTTCTACAAGGGTTTTTGTTATACCATTGTTCCTTTATCTTGTGTTTGTTTCTTTGTTTTTGGGGATAGGGTGAATAATTGTTTGAGTGTATGTTCATTTACCTCGTTTCTTTAAATAAATTATTATCTGCAACTTCACTGGATGTCTGTAGGTTGTATCATTACTAGCAACAGTCGTAGAGCATCTTGTTACAGGTGAAACCATGCAAATGACTACTACATCAGAACAACGTTCTAGGTACACTGCTCTTCTGCCTCTCAATATTCCTTTTGTAACTTGCACTATCTGCTATGAGAGTAGATACATAAGTAATGAAACTTCACACTTTACTGATTGGCAGATTCTGGAAGTGATTTTTTTGTATTAATATTCCCACCATGTTTTCTTGCTCCCAAATAGCAACTACTACCTTGCCATTTCAGCATTCCCAATCACCTGTTGTTATTTAGATTAAAAGTATTTGATCCTCATCCCATCTCCAAATGTGAACTCGTATCTTCATGGAAAGTATTTATTGATGAGAATCTATACAATCATTTGGAAGTTCTTGGATCACTAATTTTTAATATCACTAACAGACAGAGAATTAGAAGCCTTCACATGATGCTTGATGTCTAATGACCTAACAGTTCAAGATGATAATTTCATGTCTTTATTTTCTTCTCTCTCTTCTTTATGAACAGCATGTCCCCACAGCCTTGGGCCAGCCGTTGCATCATTATTTCTATATGTGGTTCTGTTGTGCCAATCCTAAACTGGTGCTGCTCTAGTTTGCAACTTCAGGACCTTCACTTGGTAACTAACCATGCATGAAATCAATTTTTTATGGATGCAGCTTGGAATATTATATGCAAAAGACATACTACAAGACTGCATCATTGATATCAAACAGCTGCAAGGCAATTGCACTTCTTGCTGGGCAAACAGCAGAAGTTGCAGTGTTGGCATTTGAGTATGGCAAAAATCTGGTTTGTCAAGTGCCTAATGTTTATTTTTATGTGCTAATTTCTAGTACGTAGTGGATCTATCTTTGAAGATAATGGTGCATGTAATCCAACATAAACACTCATAGAGATCTATGTAATACTTGAATGACAGCTTTGCCAGTTGAAATCTAAAGTGGTCAAAAAACTTTTGTAGAAAGGGATCTTTTTATTGAGAATTGACTTTGTTTAAATTGATTTTACATTAAATCAGGATGCAAGTTTCCTTATGTATTTGTGATAAAAGAACTTAAATGAACCTTAGGATTAATTTATTATCCTTGTTTCAAATTATAATCAATGAAAAAGGATGGCAAAAAGTTTAATTCAAATCTGTAAGCAAATTCTATTTCTCATGTGTTTCTGATTTGCAATTCACTGGAGGACAGAACTGATTGATTAATTAACTGTCCTGGTGGGTTGTAGCTCAGTGGTTTTAATTGCAGTTACTGCAATTAGTAGATTTTTTTTTTTTTTTTTTTTGAACAATATGGTGCATGAGGTTTGGAGGGCTGACTTTGGAAAAAGTCCCAATATTGGCTTTCTGCAAAACCACAGTAGTAGATGCTGACATGAGTTGTTTGTGTTGTGTAGAAACTGAGTCTTTTTTGTTCTCTAGACTATAGTTCTAGAATTGCTCATGCTATCTGGCAGCCTTTACCTGATCTATTTCTATGTATTTTTGGGCTCACTATTTATTTATTATTCTCTTTCTTTGTGCAGGGCTTGGCATTTCAATTGATAGATGATGTTCTGGATTTCACAGGCACATCAGCATCCCTTGGAAAGGGTTCTTTAACAGATATCCGTCTTGTAACTCATCTATCCTTGAAGTTCTGTCTATATTTCACAAATGTTAAATTGCTGTTAACTTGAAATAGTCCAAGAGAATATTCTTTTAAACTATTGTGCGCTTCAATCACAGCTGGATTGGCTCAGTCTTTTTAATTCTGGAGGGGAAGCTTCCCCTTATTGAATTCAACAAAATCTTTGGAATTATATTGTTAATCTTGCGGTGTCTACAGATTTCTTTGCTGAGAAAACTGAGGAAAAGGAAGTTTTGAATTCTTTTCATACTAATGGGATATGTAATTTGCATAAACCTGGATTCTTGGCCTTATTAGTCATTATTTTATTAGCTAGAAATCCTGTTTTGTGGGTACATGATATTTTCTGCTTGTATTTCAAGGGAGTTTGTGCTAATGATGGAAAAATGCTTTCAGGTCTTTCTACATGTTAGTATGATGTATGTGGCCTTTGTTAAGCATTGATATGCAATAGTTGCTTGTTTCATTCAAATTATTGTATTTGGTAATCCATTTTAACTTCTATAATGCTGTGGTCCAACTGCATGGTGTCCAGAGTGAAATAAATTTTGGTTGTCACAATGATATGTATTGCAGGGAATCATAACCGCTCCAATATTGTTTGCCATGGAAGAGTTTCCTCAATTGCGTGCAGTTGTCGACCAGGGATTTGACAACCCTGCAAATATCGACATTGTAAGTTTTTATAATCAACACTAGAAGTGATGTTTCATGTTATCAGTGAACTTCAGTTATTTACTCGCACCATTATCACTATTATGAAGATTATTAAAGTTGATTGATATTTGGAAACACAGGCCCTGGAGTACCTCGGGAAGAGCCATGGAATACAGAGGACAAGGGAGTTGGCAACAAAGCATGCCAACCTTGCTGCAGCAGCGATTGATTCTCTACCAGAAAGCAATGATGAGGATGTTAGAAGGTCAAGACGAGCACTAATAGAACTCACTCAAATAGTAATCACGAGAAATAAGTAAGAAGCTGCCTATCAACTTAACACAGATAGCTTGCACCAGAGATTTTTCTTATTTTTTCAAATCATTGTTCCTGTAAGGTGAGGATCAAATCTTTCCTCCTGTTTTCATCCATGTTTTTACTTTTAACATTTTTTTACCCAATAATCAGTTATAAGGAGTTTTTTTTGGTTATGAAACAGTTACAAGGAGTTATTTATTATACCTTACCATCATACTTGCTCTGTGCCAAAGGCAACACACTCTTGCAGATTCCTAGATGCACTGTTTTCTCTCTTCTATTTTGCCTTTACCTTCTTAAAAAAAGTTAAAACCATTTTAGTCCTTAAATTTTTAATTTTGAACATTTTTAATCTCTAAATTATGAAAAATATATTTTTTTAGATTCTTTTATCAATTAGTTAGTTAAGTTTATCTATATATAGACATTTAAATGATGGAAAGATTAAAAAAATACAATTTTTTTCATAATTTAAGGATTAAAAAAGTATAAAAAATAATTTAAGAACTAAAAATGTTTAAAATTAAAAAGTCAGAAACTTAAAAACATAGAATTTGACCTAAAAAAAGAAAAGAAAAGAAAAAGTGGTACACATTATTGAGAGATAATCCTTCACATTTCTTTGTTCTCTCACTCTTAATGGGCTTCAGTTTTTAAAGTAAGGTTGTCACCATCAAACACATTGTTGGCTATCAATATCATAAGATGTTATCGTAAAAAGTCATTGCATGAAGTAACTCATAAAAGTGGTCGCCTTTTATGTCACTCCAAATTAAAGAGTTAAGCTCTCCTTTTATTTTTCATCTATTTGTACTCAATTAAAACAATCTGAAAATTGAGAAACCAGAGAAAACAAAGGCCAGATAAAAGAGCAGGTGCATAGAGTTGGCTGTTTCTCAATGACTTGCATGTCCCAGCATTCTTTAATTCCACAACTTTTGAATGATTTCAGGCTTTTCTCCCCAAGTAGTTACTGATATAGAGGTGAATGAGGTGACTGAATTGATTTGCATTTTATAATTAGGTTTAGTGTTGTAGTCCCATGCAACAAATCAACATCAACAACCCATCAACCACACTTCTCTTTTCCCTACTATAAAAAAAACCCCCTGCACCTCTCTCAAATTAATTCATCGTAATCATGACTTTCTCGCTATACCACATTCTTCTTATTCTTCTTTGCAGCTCCAGTTTCTGCTCTGCATCCCGCCGCTTGCTCTTTGTTCAGTTTGGACCAACTTCTCCGGTGCCGGATTCCTCACAAACACCCCTTGTTGATGATGCCAAGTTGCCCAAACTTCCATACCTAGCCAATTTCACGCAGATGTTCCCATTTCCGGGGTGGCCTTCTCTCCCCAGTTTCCCTCCTTTTCCATTCGTCCCAACCATGCCCTCTGTCCCTCAACTGCCTCTCGGCCCTGGATTTCAAGACCCACCGAGCCTGGTCATTGGGAACCCAATCAACCCATGATATGACTGAAGCATTCACTACCATACTTCATAATGTAGGGTTGTCTCTTTTATGTCGTGTAATTTCGTTTCCCTTTGTATGTGCATGCAGAATAAGGGTTTTTACTTAAGTTTATGATGTAGCTTCTCCATAATTAATAAAGGCAATTAGACATATATACGCGCATCAATATGGTTTTGGAGATATTTTGATCCATGGCCAAGCTAAAAATTCATTTCATAGTAAATTTTTCCCACTGAACAATTTGCATGGCTAAGTAGAAACTTTACTAGCTAGCCAAACAACTCCTTGTGTCGATATCAATCTTGACACTTTTGTGATTCATAGTACCACCATAAAATATTTTAAGACTACTAATTTTTTTGATTTTTTTTTAAATGATATTTTTAAATATAAATTTGTTGGTTGATTTTAATTTATTAATTAATAAATATTAACTATTTTGGCAATTATTAATTAATAATTTACTAGTTAATAATTATAATTATTAATCATTTTTATCAATCAAATTAAACAAAATAATATTTTTAAAGATGATATTTTATAATTTTTTATAACCTTAATATTTTGATTGGTGGCCATAATTCTGTGCCTCGTAGTGACTCATAGTAATGCTCTCTTCTACTGTAAGATTCAAGGCATAACAAACTAGTTTTGTATATACTAACAAACATAATTTGTAAGAAAATAAATCTTGCGCAATTGGAAAGAGGTGCAGAGATGCCAAAGGTTAGAAATTACAGTGGATGCAGTGGTATAGACAAAGAACATCATCTGGAACCATGAGAAAATGGATCCAAGAGTGCATAACAATGGCCCAAAAATAAAAAAAATAAAAAGAAAAAGAAAACCTCAAGAAGAAGAAGAGTGCATAACTAGTTGCACGTAGAGTGCATAACTATTAG